TTTTTTTTGCTAAATGAGGATGTTCGTCTAATAATGTAGCCACATCCGAACAACTTTCATTTTGCATATTAAATTTGACTGTTAAGACGGCAGATAATGTTTTTACAGAAAGTTGCGACGTCTCATTCCTCCAATAATCGTTCCCTAGTGAAAATACCCTTTCAATAGCAGCATTAGTGCCTGGACAACATAAGGAAATTTCTATTAAAATTTTTAAATTTTCATGGGGGTATGTTCTACACTGAAATGCCGAAAGATTTCTGCCCATCTTTTGTCAAGTTCTATTTTCCCATCGTTCCATTTCTTCAATTTTTCTTCATTTAAATATAAATTTACTCTTCGAATTTCTTCAAAGAGAAAATTGTCATTAATAACAATATATTTTACTAATACAAATGAGTATAAAATTATACAAATGAATACTTTCAGAGTACAGGATTTGAAAAGAGTACGGTTTGCGAAAAAAGAGTACAAAACTCAGTAAATGAGTACAGTTGGTCACCTTAATAAAATGGAAGTGGTAATGACAAAACAGTATTGTATGACAATAAATAAAAGTAAAGCAAAAATACTGGTATGCTAGGAAAGAAAAAGTAGGGAAAGAGCGAAAATATAGATGTGGGACGAAAAATCAGACTGATTTTCGGTATCTAGGAAGTCAGACAAGTCAGGACGAAAGCAGCAATAGAGATATAAAACAGAGGATAGGGCAGGGCCGAGTCGCCTTCAACAGAAAAAAGAAACATTTCTATGATCGTAAACGATTAATTTAGAAATTCGAAAAAGATTGTTAAAAGTTAATATGTATCGAGAGCGACGATAAGTGGGTGCAAAACATTGACGGTGGACGCGGTGGAAAAGTAAAGGTTAAGTTAGAAGTGTTCTAAATATGGTGTTACAGGTGAATGATGAGGTTACCTATATAGAGAAGATTAGAAATAAGAAGGTATTAAAAAGAATAGGAGAACAGAGGTCACTATGAAAATTGGCTAGTTAGACACATATTAGAAGTAGAAACAGAAGTTAAGAAAAGTGGAGGTAGACCCAGATTAGATTACTGTTCACAAATAGCTAAGGATTTGGAATGTTCTAGTGTTAGGGAATTGCAAAGATTAGCTAAGGATAAAAAAAGGGGAAGTGCGTGTCCAGTCAGTTTTAGGATTGACGACCTTACGTAGATGATGATGAATTTTTAGGGGTCTAATGCAAGTGAATTATTTTTATTCGATGAGCTGGAATAAAGACACATGTAGGAACCTAACAAAATGGTTTTGTTAAAAGGTGATTAGTATTACTATGTCGCTATCTATTGACATTTATTGCTATTTCAAATCCTAGACAAATAATATACAAATCTTACGAAAAAAATAATATAGCTAGTGGTG